CACCACACACACACACACACATATGTATATAGACATGCATACACCACACACACATGTGCAGACATTCACACACACACCAGTTTTGAAGATTATCTTCTATCTGGCCTATCTTCCAAACATTAGGATAGTTCTTTTCTTCAAATGTGTTACAGAACAATCATTCTCCTAACCTGCCCTCAAATGAAAAGATTCCTTAGCCTGAGTTCCTGCAATGATATATATTATCTTGTTTTATTTCACCCCAAGGAGACCTGATACTAAGCAACGCAGGAGACAGTCTATTTATTTTGCATTCTCTTGGTGAAGCCAATCCCTGTTGTTATTACTCTGCACAGCAAACTGTAACAACTTCATGGGTATTTATACTTGTGCTACCCAGGTCATAGTCAACCGTGGATTTTTTAAAATGCTAATATATTTTACTGAGAAAAATAAAACAATACTTTGAAGGAAGTGACTTCCCTGGGGATAAGAAAATATTAATCTTACTTCCCACCATTTCCCATCTTGTACGGAGCTGTTAAATTTTGTAATAGAGGTAAATTCTCATTCATTTCTTCACTGGTCCCAAATAAAAGTTTCGTCTCTTTTACAAATACTTTAGTTTTTCTCATGTCTTTCAACAGCCTAGGTAGTAATATGGTAGGAAGTATAGTTACAGTATCTTTGAAGGTGAACACAAATCTATCAATTCTGTGTTTATAATTTGACCAGAAATTATTTTAATTATTGGGACAGTAAGAATAAAATGAAACCATCCTTGGAATGTATCCTGATTGGAAAAAAAAATACATTCTTTCCTAATGATTTTAGTTGCGTCTTAACATTTTCTTGTTTAAGAATGGAAGCAAAGAACAGCAGAAGTTCCCTGAGCCATGGCTCAGCTTATTTCCCTGAGAGGGGCAGTTGCAGTATGGGTCGAATTTAGTCTGTGTTTTCTAATTCATCGAATCAACCAGTCAGACCTCTGCATGCATGTTATTATACTGAGTTGGGACTCCTATGCCTCAGAACCTCTTTAGTTTGTCCATCTAACTCTCCGATAGGATCATCACTCTCCAAGATCGTGCTGGGTACACGTGTAAGCAGCACTGTGCCCACAAAGGACTAAGGTGACCGTCTCTTTGTTTACACTGAGCTCTGTGAGCTCTCACTGGTGTAGCATTTCAAATGACACAGCAGCGTAAGTGCACCTTTGAGTCATTTCTCTTGATCCTGGGTAGCATGGGAAATCACCAGGCACGTGGTGATTATATATGTAGTTACAATGTTTGCTACATACAAGGATCTACTGTCAGAGTCCAGACATCCCATGTCAGTAAGAGAGACACACTAGCCTTATGGCATCTCCCAGTAACAAAATAACAACAAAACTACCTACCAGAAGGAATGGGCTTTAAAGATTTTTTTTTTTCTACTCAGAACAGTTTAAAAATAGTCTGTCAAGCCGGGCATGCTAGCTAACACCTATAATCCAGGACATGGGAGGTCAAGGTCAGGGGGATTGCCGTGAGTTTATGGCTAATCCGGGCTGCATACTGAGTTCCAGAGTAGCCTGAGCTATAGTGTGAGGCAGGCACTGCTTAAAAATAAATAAATGCAAATGGGGGAAAAGAGGGAGAGACAGAAGAGAGAACACTAAAATGACTCCTAATGACATTGGTGTGTGTGTGTGCGTGTGCACGTGCGCGCGTGTGTGTGTGCGCGTGTGCGTGTGTTTGCGCACGCGCGCACGCGTGTGTGTGTGTGTGTGTGTGTGTGTGTGTGTGTGTGTGTGTGTGCATGTGTCGGGAGTGGGGTATATACACACACTCACATCAGGACCTTGTTCAGCCATCATCAGAGAAGCTTCCTCTGGCAGCAGATGGGAATGCATACAGAGACCCACAGCCAGACATTACGGAAACAGTGAGAGGCCATGGAACCTCCGCCCTAAAAGGGATGTCTCTATCAGATCCCTCCCTTCAGGGCTCAGGGAACCCGGCAGAAGAAAAGGTGGAAAGAGTGTAAGAGCCAGAGGGGATGGAGGACACCCAGAAAACAAGGCTCTCTAAATCAACAAGATGGAAGCTCATAGGCATTCCCAGAGACTGAGGTAGCATGCACAGGCCTGCATCAGGTCATATATGTTACAGCTTCCAGTTTAGTGTTTTAGTGTGTAAAAAAGTGGGTATCTGGTTTCTGTGACTTCTCTTTTCCATCTTTTAGTCTTGTCACCTCCAGTATGGTTTTGTTTTATCTTACTATGTTTTACTTTATTATTTTTTTTTTAAAAAAATAAACCCTTTAATCCTAGGACTCCTAACACCTAAAAACAGATTAGTTTAAGAATAGTCTGTGTGTTCCTTTTGATCCTGCAAAATGAGATTCTAGAATAATGTCCAGAATATGCAGACCGACTGTCTTTACTAAATGTTTCTTCAAACTGGATGAGGAATATGTTTTTTCCTTCCTCCAAGCCATCCCCTTTGTCGAGGGAATAAACGGGGTACTTGTTGGCTCTCAGAGCCCCTCAGAGCGGAGTGTGAGAGCAGGCAAGCTTTCTCCTCCACAGTCTCACACAGGTATATGATGAATTGTAGTCACTTATGGCCATTACCCTCTCCCAGCCTCTCCTCTCTCCCCCGAAACACTTCTTCCCGAGCAGGCCTCTTTGTTCTTTCCTATCTCTGCTTTTGAAGTAACTTTAGAGAGATATTGCTCTCCCGTAACTCAGCTGTCACTTTTAAGTATGTCATTTCATGAATATTTCTGTCATTTCGTGAATATTTGAAGTGTGACGGGACACTTTTGTCATCTGCCCCTGTAAGTCTGATTTTGAGAAAGAAAGGGTTGGAGAAGAATATTCTTTGTGTACTACAGTAATTTGATAATGTCACAATTAAAAAGCTGATGCTTGGGCAAACTTCCAGAACGTCCTAAACCGCAGAGTTTAGTAACTGCAGTCCTCTTTGCGGTGGTAAAGGAAGGTAGCTGTGGATGACCACACTCCGCCCCCACCATGCACCCCCTACCTCCGATGACCTGAAATCTCTTAAGCATTTTCAGAGTGTTTTGTTTACGTTCTGTTCACACAGCTACAATTTGTGTATGTATTGGGAACATTCCACGTTTTATAAGGCTTTCAAGAAGGCACTCAGTTGGAATGGGGGTCATATCAAGAGCAGACAGAATCAAAAAGAGAAAAGCCCGGGCACTTCTCCAAGGCACTTGTAAGGGCAGCTGCCTTCCGGATTCTAGAAGCTCCAGACTCATCCTGTGCCAGGTGATACAGGGCCCCGCCGTTCTCTGCAGTGTTGGTCAGTGTGGAGAGAGAGCCATGCCTAAGCTTGAAGCCTGAGTCCAGGACCTAACCCAAAGGGTGAATGAAGAGCAATCGACTTTATAGGAGCCTGGGATTCTTCTGTACAGGGGACTCTTCAGTGAGGATGCGCGAGCTAACCCCTCCACATGCCCTAGCCCAAAGGAAGGCTCCGAGAAGCGAAACTGCCCTTTTGATGTTTATTAGCGACAGTGCACATCTAGAGAACGGAATTCCAAAGACCCTTGCAGGATAACACCGATGTCACACGCTGAGAGAAGGCTCTTGTTTTTGGATACCTGAAGTGTGAAAAGTCCGGAAAAGGGAGATAGAGCCCCGTTGGTTGTTGTACAGGAAACAAACCCTTTGTTTGTTTGTTTCCCATGCCTTCTTATTTTGCTTACTAGTGACTTTCAGCCTCCAGTTTCAGTTAATTAGTTTGTAGCGTTGCACATTTCTGCTTTAAAACTATGTCCCTCTCATGGTTGACTCGTGTCCGCATGCAGATCGGAACACCGTCTGAGCCATAATAGCACTCCAGAGGTGTTTATTGGATGGATGACTTTTAAATATAAAAATATACATAGATCGATCAAAATCCTGGCTTCTAATTCTGTTTCAGAGTAGTGGACTTAATGGACTGTGTAGGTAATCTGTGCTTACCAAATGGTTTTAAGGACATTGGTATAAGTAGATGAACTTAAAAGTGAAATTACCTTAAGAACAGAATGGATAAAAAGAAAGTCCTCTATAATTCTTGAATGATATTACTACTTCCTAGGGTAGCACCTCGGCTATTCCTAGTCCCAGCCTTCCTCCATAGCTAAACTGTTTAAAGACATGGGATGCAGCTTCAGTTTCTGCCTCTTAAGAGGTCTTGGGATGGGCGAACAAACTCATGATGCTATTGAAGTCCCAGCTAGAAAATCATCTAACGTCTAAAATGTAATCCAGCGCCTGGTCCCACAGCGCCGGAGACTCCATCTATCTCCATGGAAGGCAGCCAGAGCCACTTTTCTGTGCCTGAATTTCTCCACAGACACCCGTTCTCATGTGATGGTTCACCCCGTACAGCTGCAAGTCACTTGGGAAAGTAATGGTCTTAGAAAACACATATATTTGTGCAGGCTTGTGGCTCGTGTGATCTTGAAGAGGATATCAAAAGGATGTTTGTTCTCATTTCGATGGTGAAAATGTAGCAGATGGGTGATCGGGCCAGCTTTATCAGTTCATCTTAGAGCATTGCAATAGTCAATATTCCACCCATCCACAGCCTCCGGCCGCCTCTTCGGTTCCTGCTGCCAGCCACTGCCCCCTCTTCCGTTTTTATTATCTACCATTTAATTGCACCGATAGGCTTTGCTTTTCATTTCTGTGTGGTTTTCACTGGAAGGGATGCGAATCCCCCCCACCCCCTTGCTGCTGTAGTTAGAGCTTCTCAGGCTTCTCCACCTCCGAGAACCAGAAGTGGGTTTCTAAATCCTGTAAATACGTGTGAATTTGCGGGAGTCGGAAGTGGGCTTCTAAATCCTGTAAATACGTGCGGATTTGCAGGAACCGGAAGTGGGCTTCTAAGTTCTATAAATACATGTGAATTTGCGGGAACCGGAAGTGGGTTGCTAAGTCATGTAAATACATGTGAATTTGCACGTTCTTCTCAAAGCACCAGGTGATTACTTCTAACTTTTACTTTTTTTAGAAAAGAAGAGGCTTATTTGGGACCAATAAATTCTGCCAGGTAAGGGATTCTGGAAGCTGGAGCTGTATGGCAGGGATTTATTATTTTTCCTTGTATAAGCTTTCTTATTATTATTTCCCAGCAAATCATAATTATCCCTCTCCGTAGACTTTTTGCGTAAACAGAAATAGCATGAGCTAAATTGATATAACTAAGTAACAAGCATTGGGCCATTTAAAACTTACATCTTAGACTTAATAAATTGTTGAAATTAACTCATGTTTAACAATTCAATGTCTATGAACTGCCAATTAAATCTTTGAAAATATTGCTTTGGTGTATAATTGAAGTTCTTCTAATAATTTACCTTAACATTCTATATATGAAATTATTATGTACATATGCATTTTTTCATTTGGTAAATTTAACTTGACATTTTTAGGGTTTATGAGAATGTCTTTATTAACCTAGGATCCATTATTCATTCTGGAGATCGCTGAATGAATAAAGAGTTGGCACTGTTGTGTGTCTCCTGGGGAGGTAGGAAAGATCGTCTGTTCGGCCCAGTTGCTGAGGACGGACTCTGTGCAAGTCTATTGTCCCCGTTCTGCCCATAAATGTATCGGGGTTATTCGCAGGGGTGTGCACACCTCAAAGGTAGTCAGAAAGTCTTATGGGCAACATACAGGCATCGATGCTACTGAGGAGTCCTGCCCAGGGCATGCACAACTCATGTAAACCGCACTACTGAGAAGCCCCCTGGGCAGTTTGCAAGCAACTTCATGACCAAAGCGGTCCTCACCATCCATTGCTTACCTATGTAACCTCAGGGTATGGAGGGGGAGACCGCATAAAGTACATGAAGGCTCCTGAACCCATAAGTCCCATGAGCCTCGTAGGCGCTCCCTCCCTCCAGTGAGGACCTCTGCTGCTCGGATTCAATGTGGTGATGACCGATGACTGCGTTCAACCCAACTCCACCACTGCCGTTGATCTGCCCACAGATCTTATTATGGCTACAGAGAATGACCATCCACGACAAAAAAAAAAGGCAATTAATTAATAGTAATTCCTTTTATCTAACTTTTAGAACATTGCAGAAAGATATAAAACAAACTTCAGAATATTACCATTTTCTACTTTTTTAAAAATATGAAACCTCTTTGTATGAAAGTGCAAATCCGAAACTCACGCATATGGTTCAGATATTGCAGGGCAGTGTCAGAACCCAGCACTCATTTCAAGGGATCATGTGACCAAAATAGAAAAGAAAATACAACCTAAAAAGAGTGACTTCATTCTAAATCACAGTCTCAGAGGTTCTTGCCAACAGTCTGTGGCTCTGTTTGTTCTGGGCCTATGATGAGGCAGAAGGAACATTGTGATGTTGGGATGGTGTGTGTGGTTGGCAGAAGCTACCCCTCTCACCAGGGATAGGAAACAGGGTGGGAGGGAGGGACTGGGGGCCAGGTATACCCTTCAGCAGCTGGTGCCCAGTAGTCTGCCTCTTCCAGGGAGGCCTGACCTCTCCCAACCTCCACCATCTGTCTCCCTAACACCACCCATGAAAGATGGAACACCAAGCCCACGTGAGACATATTACGTTCAAGTCATAGGAGGAGAGACTTTGGGTTCCATTCCTTTATGGCAGGGTTGGTGTGGTGACCTGAGCAGCTGCCATCCTGATGGGCAGAGGGGACAGTAGAGGCTTGTACTGCGGGGTTTCCTCCTCCTTGCCCTCTAGCTCCTCCCTGGTCCTCCAGCCTATTGAGTAGTGCCACTCACAATAGGATGGGTTGCGTGTCCCGCCCCACATCGTCTCCCAGCTCCCTCTGTCTCCACCCCCATCCCTGGCTTAGTTGATCCTCTCTGGAAGTGGACTCACAGATATACCGAGAGAGGTGTACTTGTCTCAATCCACACTGACACTCAGGATCTGCCATCAAAATAAACATTTATGGAAAAGATAAAAGGGATTTAGACAAGAAGAAAACATGGATATTTTCTGAAAATCTGTGTAAGGAAATTGATCATTTTTAGTAGGAAATAGAGTACTTACTTCTAATACTCATTTATTTTTTTTTTACTAGAAAAACTTTCCTTTTGTAGTTCTTGCGTACTTTATACATTAAAGTAAATGACTGATCAACCCCGGTGAATATAGTAGTATGTATATAATATACTCTTTCTGTTAGATACGTTCCTATAGTTGATGAGCTTATTAGCCAGCCCCTTCTTTTTTTTTAATTATTTATTTTACATCCCAACCACAGTTCCCCTCCCTCCTCTCCTCCCAGTCTCTCCCCTCCACTTCCCCTCTGTACCCCGCAATCCACTCCTCAGTTTCTATTCAGAAAAGGGCAGGTCTCCCATGGACATCAGCAAAACATGGCATATCAAGTTGCCTTAAGACTAGGAACCTCCGCTTGCATTAAAGCTGGGCAAGGCAACCCAATGAGGAGTAGGTGCTCAAAAGCTTGCCCTGCTCCCACTGTTCCCAAGAAGACCAAGCAACACAATAAAGTATCCTTTTAAATGAGAGACAGCAGAGGTACGTTTTTGATTCGGCTAGCTGCGTGTCGTTCAAATGAAGGCAGCAAGTCAGGAAACAAGGACGCCATTCAGGCTGCTGTCCTAACTGAATGGACTTTGTGGGGGAATCTCTGATCTTACACACTAATCTGGTGCCAGTGTCTTGCAGGGACCTCCTTAATGTGCTTTGGAAAGCAGGTGGCTGGGAACTTGTCTGCCTCTATATTTGGAGTGTTCAGCCTTGACTTACACTTAGGGATGGAAAATAGGAAGCAATGTTTTCAGTCTGGTGTGGTACAGATGTCAGATTTGAGCACAGTACAGTTATATTGGGAATTCTTTGAAAAAGAATTTAGGGGAAACAGTTCTATTCAGGGATTGAGCTGAATCCACCCCTAATTACCTTGGTTTGATAAAAATTTTAAACTAGGATATTTTAGGTTCTATGTATGTGCCTCTTTGCTGTACCATAGGTAAAACCGGGAGAAATGTATTTATTTTAAGCAATGGAAGTTTTTAATTTAAAGATTAATTTTCAGTATACTTTTGAATGAGTGATAGGAAAAGTGTACATTCTAGCTATGGTTCAGTGAATAAAATTGTTTATGCTTTGAGATATGCTTGTTATAAAGGTAAAGTAATAGTGCAGGATACAGTAAAGATGAGTTAAGTGACAGTCATGAGCTGGCGTTTGGCAGATGGCCATCCATTTTGGTCCTTGATATTCTGTACATCACCCGATGGGAAGTATTTTACAGCGGCTAAGAATAAAAACTCATGATAACAGACTCTTCTGTCAACTTCAAAAATTTGGGGATTTTTTAAAAATACTGCCAGTTAGGTTAGTCTATGTATTGGTTGTTTAGGCCTAATACAACTTGATATGCTGCTATATTCCTAGGAGCCATCAGAAAGTATTTCGATAGACACATCTACAAAGAAAATAAACACCCAAGTTTTCTTTCCTGACTTTTTGGGATTTTCTTTTCGCACTGGTAGGTTTTTTTTTTTTGTTTGTTTAACTTAATTCTGTGTTGTCCAATCCTTATGCGATAAAATTCAAGGACTGTCGAGTTAAGACTGTGGTGACGCTTGCCTAGCATCCACGAGGCTTTAGGTTGGGATGTGAGACCCTCTCTGCCGCTCCAGAAAATGTGCATTCAAACCATCACCAACCATCACCCCTGTGTTCATAGTGGCCGTTCCTTTACTTCTCCTCTCCCAACTCTTAAACTTGTACCAAAAGGAGGCTGATTCTAATAACTTCACATTTTTTATTTTTGGAGACTCATACATGAATTCACTGTATTTTCCCAGTTTCTGCCTCCCCCCCCCCCGGGGTCCCCAGTGCTCCGCACCCCCCTCAGGTGAGTTCTCTCCTCTTCTCTGCTTCCCGTTGTGTTTCACGGACGTCTCAGGACTCCTGTTGCTGTGACAGAGAGAGCAACGGCTCGGCACTCTTTCTCGCTGCGCGTCAGTTATCCTCAGTGCTAATTTTATACTTTCTTGATTTATAAGCATGATCAGGGATGGGATCATTTCTTCTCGCTCAAATGTCATCGACTAATCCCCTGTGAAACTCGGAGCCTGGGAGATTTCCTTGGTGGTGGTGTCAGCTGACCCGTGCTCGTTCACGACACACCTGTTGAGTGATTCATCGCTCGCCGCCTGCATTGTTTCGGGAGCTGCCGGTTGTCTGATGTTAATGCTGGAGATTAATTTCTGGGGTCCATGGGAGAATCATCACGGTCTCTTTTTATCTACTCCACGTCTATTTAGAATTGTTTCTGTAAGGGTGAGGGCTCGACACAGTGCATTTTCCTGTGGCTGAATACTTTCATTACCGTACGTTTTCCCTAATATGTATGTTTTATATGGAAGCCAAAAGGAATCGTAGGCTATTAATCAAAACCTTGCTTGATCAATATTTAAACAAGGACTGCATATTAACCAATCTGATACATGCATCTGAGTGTTCATTTGTAATATACTTTCCAGGACAGTGAATTTCAATCCATAGGACATGAAAGCTAATAAATTATTTTAAAATAAAGATACACACTTTCTCTTCTGTAATAAGAGCCTGACATTTACAACTTTGCCATAAATCAAAACTGAAGAAGTTAAATATATCTGTAGTGACTGTCACCGAGATCATTCGAGAACCATGCTGAGCATTATCGCTTCCTACAAGGAAAACATTAACAACTTAATTTTAACCCTAACACGTGAATCTTTGGTTTTCTGTAGTGTGACTCTTTAAAATGTCCCATGCCTCCTTTCATTGACAGCAGGTTGCTAGGGGAGTGGTGACTCTCTTGTGGTCTTTGGTTTGTTTGGCTTTCATTTTTATCCTTAATTCCTGGAGACAGCCTTACTGGAGAGTGAGATTCTTTGATAGCCTCATTGGGAAACTAAGAGTTAAAACCTTAAGGAGGAATCGTGCCCCTCTTCTGTTCTTGCAGTGCTGTCTCTGTCTTTCCTTTGAAGATGATTTTGACCCTTTGTTTTTAATCATTGCTCCTCAGATGGACCCTGTGCAGAAGGCCGTCATCAACCACACGTTTGGAGTCTCCATTCCCCCGAAGAAGAAACAAGTTATTTCTTGTAATGTCTGTCAGCTGCGCTTTAACTCGGACGTGAGTATCACTTTTTTATTGCTCTCTGAAGTGTGTTGATTGTGCCCGTGCTGATTGGCCTTAAGATGTCCACCTCTTCACATGTGCCTGCTCTGTGGCCGCTCATCACCGGTTCCTCCTGATGATCCACTGGCTCCAGGGTGTCCAGTTTCCAAGTGACTTAGATTTGGTGCTTCAAATCTGAACAGTAGGTCAAGTAATTGGTCATAAAAGTTAGGACATTCTCTTGTTTTATATTGGATCCCATTGATTCTATTTGCTTGTCAAAAATATTTGAAAATTAGAAATTATGAAAAAAATGAGGGAATGCTAAAGAAGACCACTGAGTTTTGACAAGAACTATCACATTTCATGCATGTGTTCAATCTTACTAAATAGCCAAAGACTAATGTTGTTATACAAATTATGTTTCCATTTCATATAAATATGGGGAAAATTTTCTATAACTAGCCAACATAGGCATTCTGCTGAAAAGAGGTACCAAGGGAAGGGTAAATTCTAAGTCAGTTTTTAAATGTATAAAAAATAAATAACAGTAGAAATCTGGTAATATTCAACTACCAGACAAAACCAGTTTCCAAGATGGATAAAGAAAATGCCATACATTTACACAATGGAGTACTACACAGCTGTAAAAAAATAATGACATCTTGAAATTTTCATGAAAGTGGATGGACCTAGAAAAAAACATAGTGAGTGAGGTAACCTAGACCCAGAAAGACAGCTATAATATAGCTCACTCATAAGTGGCTTTTAGACATAAAGCAAAGAAAAAAAAACAACCTACAATTCACAACCCCAGAGAACCTAGACAACAAAGAGAACCCTAAGAGGACATCCATGGATCTACATAGGAAGGTGAAAAAGACAAAATCTCCTGAGTAAACTGGGAATGTGGTGGTCACATTAGAGGGTTGAAGAGGAGGGAAAGGAAGGAGGGAAGTAGAGAAAAAAAGCATAGCTCAATAAAAAAAAGTGAAAAAAAATGTACCAGTTTCCAGTGCAGATGGGATCTGAAGACTGTATCTTAGATGTGGGATTTCCCAAGTTTCGGGATTCAAATAGCCATTTTGCAAAGAGCATACCACAGATTTAATGTGTTTTTAGAAATACAAAAATAACAAGGCATCCTTCTTCATGTATACCACGATGTGACATTTTCATAGTTCTACACAGTAAACACAATTAAATTGCCCTGACTAAGTTGATCATGGTCTAAACAATTATATTTAATGTGATTTCAACTAAAGACTGGTGACTGGTACCTCATAAAATTCCATTCTGAAGAATTTAAATGTACTGACATAAACAGAGAAACATAGGATGTCGATTCATTCGACACTTCAGTATTATTGAGATCTCAATTCCCTCAGGTTGTAAAGAGAGCAGGGTGAATACCCAGACTCCCCAAACCCTCTCTTTTTGTTAAAAATCACCCATGAAGATGTATACTTCCCGATTTTAGTACTTACTACAAAACCCACAGCTATCAAGGTACTTAAAAAAATCAATCTGCCTTGGGGCTGGAGCGATGACTCAGCCGTGAAAAATACTAACTACTTTTGCAGAGCACTTGGGTTCCATTCCCAGCACCATCCATAACTCCATTTTCCGGGGAACCAGCACCCTCTTCTGGTCTCCATGGTACAGCACACTCTAGTGCACTGGCATCCATGCAGGTGAAACACGCACACACATAAGGATAAATACATCCTCTTTAAAATATTATCCATTTGATCTCCTCAAGCCTGACTTGTCGTTCCCAATTACTATCAACACTTTGTACTTTTTATGTAACCTTCCGGAGTTGGCTTATGGAGCTGTATCTAAATGTGAGTGTGTTTTTCTTTCTCTTATGTATAGAGTAGCAAGCTTTTCTCTGCCTTTGATTGGTGGTTTGTTCATTCATTTGTTTGATGTTTATGCACCACACATGCATCATGTTCATGTGTATTTGTATACATGTATATGTGCAGGCATGCACATGTGTGACCAAGAGTGTGAAGGTCAGAAGTTGATGTCAGGTGTTTTTCTCAGTCTCTCTCCCCCTTGTTTTCTTGTGATAAAGTCTCTCACTAAACCTGGAGCTCATCTTTTCAGCTTGACTGTCTGGTCAGTGAGCTCCAGAGATCTGATTCTCTGTCCCCAGCAGACTGCTGCCACGCTTGGCTTTTGCATGGCTGCTCAGATTCTCGTGTTCGCATGGCAGGCACTTTACTCATTGAGCCATCTTGCCACCTCCTGCCTTGTCTTTCTCACAGCACAGTGTTTCACTGAAAAGCATTTCTGTCCATGTAGAGCACTCCTTGACCTTCTTATTTGCAAACGTGCTAGACAAAGATGCTAATGTCCTAAGATCCTAGATCCTCATAATATGTTACCTTATATCACAAAGGGGATTAAAGGCAGTAATCGCCCGTCTCTAAAACAGAAAGAATGGCCATCACTGTGTCTTGTGCCCATGTGTCTGGTGTATACAAGGCTTCTTAAAAAGGGAAGAGGAAGGCAAAAGAAGCAGTTATTAATGATTCATCGATTGCCCATTGACGACTTTGAAGTTAAAGGAATGTGCCAAAAGCTAAGGAGTGTGCGCAGGTCTACAAGTCAGTCTTACTAATACCTTCGTTTTAGCCCAGAGAGATACACATCACATTTCTGGTACCCAACTAGGCAATAACAAATTTGTGTTGCTTTTAGCTCATGATCATTTCCTGTGAAAGCAGTAGTAGCACACTAGTCTCTGTGTGTGTGCCCCATAGTCTGTTTACTTAGTACCCATTAGCATTTGTGTGTGCGTGCCCTATTGTGTGTTTACTTAGTACCCGTTAGCATTTTTGTGTGCATTCCCCATACTCTATTTACTTAGTACCCATTAGTATTTTTGTGTGCATTCCCCATACTCTGTTTACTTAGTACCTGTTAGCATTTGTGTGCCCATGTCCCATGGTTGTTGGTTCAGTGCCTTCTAAGTGACCATGTAGGTTGTCTCCCATTTAGGAGTATTGTATATATTTTCATAGTCAATACACAACAGAACCAGGATATAAATCTGGGCATCTTGCCTCTAAATCTGCAGGTGCACCTACAATACTATTTCCAGTAAGTTGACTTTTGTCTAAGGATTAATTGAACCCCTTCTGGAAGATGGTAGGACATTCCAAAGAGGTAGCTTTTACCAGCAAGGGCTATGTGATTGCCTGGGATCTGTCCTTAACACAGGAAAACAGAGCATGTTGCAGTCTTCCCCTGTGTTCTCAATTTCATGTACAACACTGCATTCAGAGTCTTCGAGGGCCAGGCATGATAACACACACCTTTAGTTCCACTCTCAAGAGGAAGAGGTAGAGGCATGCAGATCTCTGAGGGTTTAAGGCCAGCCTGGTCTACACGTGAGTTTCAGGACAAACAAGCTATATATAGACCCTGTCTCAAAAAAAAAGTTCTTGAACTTGAATTTAAGTTCTGGTTCTGAACCTGGAAAATAACACCAACACTGTTGACCTTAGTTTTATGATGGGAAAATGGACTGTTCCAGCTCTATGGTTAAAAATAATCCCCACAGTATCACCATCAGCAGAACAGAACATAAACACATCTGTCATACAGATAGGGCAGCTAAGACCCCAGAATTATGCTTCCTATTGTGTCATGGAAGCCAGGTGTGGTGATACACCCCTGCAGTGTCAGAACACGGGAGAGTCAGCAGTTGACGGCCATTCTTGTCTACAGGGCAGGTGTGAGGCCTGGACAACACAAGACCCTGTTTGCAAAACCAAAATAGAAAAAAAAAAAAAAAGCAGAACCAAAAACGAATCTGTCCCATGGGTGCTTTGAGGGGAGGTGTGAAGTGTGAGAAGTTTCCCTCTGTAGTTAAGAATGTCTCACACTTTTGATCTGGGCTCACCATCATCCAGTTTTTCTAAGTGTAAACAACACAGGTAAGGACAGCTGCAATGTGTTAACAGATGACCACCAACTTCCTGACACTACCCAGGAGCCCTGTGGAGAAGAAAGAAAAAAAAACGAGATTTCTGAGTCATGCTTGCTTTCTGGGCAATAAAACTGTAAAATCTGGATGGCAAATGGAGAAATGTGACATATATGTGTTCCCAGTGTTTAGCAATGGTGCTATAATCTGCATAACCGAGCTCTCTAACTGAGCATTTTTTATTGGGAAGGGAGTTTATTATTTTATAATTACCCTATTTACATTTTAATGCAAGAATTAAGAAGATGCTCATCCTTATTTCCTTTAATAACATTTCTAAATCAGCCCGAGACTGAATTGGCTTTACTCTTCAGTGTAGAAAGTATGTTTATGAAAGATTTGGAAGGCAAATTTGCACAGTAAACAGACTGTTCTGCATGGCTCCCTGTAACACACATAAAACACACCAGGGTAGACCTTGTGCAGTGAAACCCAGAGCGACCTAGTTTAAGTATTCTGCAGCCTGCTTTGTCCAGCTTTTACCATCTCAATAGAGCGCCACTGTTGGAAAGCTAAAAGCTACAGCTTTATTTACACAATGAAGCCTTATGTAAATGAGCAAGCATTAATCACAAACATTTCCCAAGTGAACCTTTACAAATTGACACCATTAACTTTGCCAGGGGCAGGCCAGGCACTGCCGTCCAGGAATAATACACTTTCCAGAAGAGTCCTGGACCTTTGCGCAAATACGTGCAGATGCCAGTTCCTGCTTTCTTCTTCATCATCTTCCTAACCCAGGGTAAACCAAATGAGGCTGTCATGAGCCCCCATGTTCCTTCGTCCATTGATAAATGAGTGCACACTGTTGGATGATCATAAATTGATGAGCCTGAGTAGGAATCTATGCCTCTCTAGAGACGAGCCCTGGCAGGAGAAGGAGCTAGTGTACACTTCACAAATAATACCTTGAGGCAAACATGCTTCTCCTTTTTGGCAATGTTGGAAGTTGGGAGATCACAAATAGTTTCTAATTTGCATATTAATTTCAGTTCCCTGGAGACTAGCAGTA